AGTCACCGGGGCGGTCTCACAGACTTCCCCTTATTCATTTAAGACCCCAGACGCAAGGATATGAACAAGGAAACGCTACAAGTGTTCTCCAGGAAAGGTAGTGGTGGAAGGGGCCTCTTTAGCGCCATCCGCCAGGGCCTCCTCTACCCCACTCTAGGCCGCTTGGTTGTTCTTAGGCCACAGACATCAGGCTAGAGAACCCCTGTTTTGATGACTACCAGAGAGAATGCAGCAGGGTGAGCCTGAAGAGGTATCTGTCCTTCATGCTCCTGTCTCCACAGTGCAAGGGGGGAGGAATTAGAGCGGCCTACTTAATTCCCCCTTTGAGGGGTGGGAGTGTGGTGCCAGGTGAACGACTTTGGGTTCTGGATTTGGGTTCCTCAGGGCCCGAGCTAGAGTAGGAATTTCTCCTAAGAGGCAGCACCACATGATTCGCATCTAGAATGCCAGAGGCAGAATCAAGGTCCAGGTAGCTGAGTGGAGGTGTGGAAGTTCGATAAGAATGTACTCTGGGATAAAATAAAGAATGAATAACAACAACTTGGGGAGGTTGGGCTAGCACTTGGAGGGTGCTTGATGGCTGAGGTTAGGTTGGCTGCAAGGGCCATCATTTGTTCTTTCCACGTATCTTCATCTTGGGAAATGAAAAGTGATTGGGATGAAAAGAGCCGGACCTCAAACCCTTCGGCCCTTCAGTTACCCTCCCCGCCCCCACGTACAGTAAAACCTTCCAGCGGAAGCCGTAGAAGCCTTTTCTTTTTCAGATTATAAGTGAGTGCCGATGATGAGTCAGTGTTTCATGTTTGTGCTTTAAAACCATCCTCGATATATAAATATTAGTAGGGACAGCGGCACCGGGCAAATTTCAAACTGTTTTTTGCCAAGATCCGCCTTTTCAGTGTACCTGTCCCTGATTATGGCCTCCTTGGGTCTTCGTGAACGCTGCAGAAACCCCCCACCTCTGGAGCCGGAGGACCCATTTCAGGTCCTAGGGAATCATTTCTCCAGAGACTTCTTTGGCACACTAAGTGCTTTTCTAATGCTGACAGAGGGCTGGAAATGGAAGGAGCTTCGATTTTTCTCAATAATGGAAAATCCCCAAATCATTGTTATCAGCTTTACAGCCAGCTAGAGATGTCCTCAAAGAGACATACACTGCTTAAAAACTTGTTTTCCTCTCTGCCTTTAAGTGGATGATGGCAGTGTAGTTTGGGCAGCGTGTGGGAGTACTGAGTGGCACCTGGCCTTACCCAGCTTTTGTCTGGTGAGCATTAAAATGAGCTCTTTTTGGTTTGTTTGTTTGAACTGTTACCTGAAGGAGAAAAACAGTTTAAGAATAACTTGCTTAATACTTATTTCATAATGTAAAATTTTCAATAGCAAATCTTTTCCTGATAACCAAAGAATTCTAGAACAGTTCTCAGTTTTTCTCCATCATGATTTTAAAATCTTCTTTAAAAATAAGTGTGTAAGTACTACCCATTTTCTGGTTTAATAAAAGGCTTTTGTATAATCAAATAGCATGTATTTGTGCACCAAGTCATGGACTAATACGGAATTTTAGCAATTATTATTTTTTTAAGATTTTATTTATTTATCCGAGAGAGAGAGAGTGTGTGTACACAAGCGAGTGAGCATGAGCAGGGGGAGGGGCAAAGGGAGAGGGAGAGAAAAAAATCTCTCCAGCAGACTCTGCGTGGAGCCGGACACAGGGCTCCACCCCACAACCCTGATATCATGACCTGAGCTGAAATCAAGAGTTGGATGCTCAACCGACTGAGCCACCCAGGCGCCCCAGCAATTAATTTTTTAAAATACCCCGCCTGGGGCGCCTGGGTGGTTCAGTCATTTAAGCGTCTGCCTTCGGCTCAGGTCATGATCTCAGGATTCTGGGATCGAGCCCTGAGTTGGGCTCCCTGTTCACAGGGGGGAGTCTGCTTCTCCCTCTCCCTCTGCCCCTCCCCCTCTCCCCCCGCTCATGTGCTCTCTCTCTCTCTCTCTCTCTCTCTCGTTCTCTCTATCCCAAATAAATAAATAAATAAAATCTTTAAAAAGAAAACAAAGGACCCTAGCTTAGAAAGCTCCATTAATGCATTTAGCATTTATCAAACACCTGCTATGCGAAAGGTACTGTGTAGGTGCCAGAGATTCAAGGAGTATTTAGAAAGAAAGATACCCATGGAGCTTACAGTCTAACAGAAATGTACTCAAGTTTGATGCTTTTTAGTTCCTAGTGAATTTTTTATATGGAATTTTGTTTGTTGTGTAATGAACTGAGGGGTGGCTGAGAACCGAATGCCTTTGGGGAGATATACTGCTTTATTTTTTTTTTCTGGAAAAAGAAAATCAAGACTGAAATGTCTCACTTCTTCTTGTCTAGTCAGTGTTGCCTACTCAGTGCCCAACTCTTCTGTATTCACAAAACGGGGTAGGAAAAGTAGCATAAAAATGAAAGTGAAGCCCAAAGGAGATGACGGAGAGCAGTGTTTCTCCACCTGAGATCTGGGAGCACCTGTGTCAAAGTCCCCTGAAGGCTGCATTCTAATTGCAGATTCCCAGACCCTCCAGACTGAGTACTGGTGGTAAAGCCTGAGAATCTTCATGTTTTAATAACCTCCCCTGGTGAGTCTTGTGATACTCATGTCAAAGAGCACTGATCTAGGTGCGTGGAGAAGGTCACCAGGACGAGGTGAACTACTTCATTTTTCTTTTTTTTTTTTTTTAAAGATTTTTATTTATTTATTTGACAGAGAGAGAGAGACACAGCGAGAGAGGGAACACAAGCAGGGGGAGTGATCCCAGGACCCTGGGATCATGACCTGAGCTGAAGGTAGACACTTAACGACTGTTAAGTCTGTTCCAAACAGATGGGAGTCAAAGTATTTAGAGGAAAATGTGATGATCCTTAGGTGTCATCATGGGTTTGCTAAAACATTGTCACTATTAAAGACTGTCAAATTTGGGGGCGCCTGAGTGGCTCAGTCGGTTAAGCGGCTGCCTTCAGCTCGGGTCATGATCCCAGGGTCCTGGGATCGAGCCCCACATCGGGCTCCCTGCTCGGCGGAGAGCCTGCTTCTCCTTCTCCCTCTGTCTGCCGCTCTGCCTACTTGTGCTCTCTCTCTATCTCTGTTAAATAAATAAATAAATAAAAATCTTAAAAAAAAAAAAAAAAGACTGTCAAATTTGGCTGCACATTAGAATCATCTGGGGAGTTTTAAAAAATCTTGATGCCCAACCCCCACCCAGTACCGGTTACATCAGAATCTCTGGGGATGGGACCCAGGCATCCGTCTTTTTAAACCCCCAGAGATTCTCATTTAATGCAGTGCTGTCTGAGCACTGGGAGTTTTAAAAGCTCCCTGGGCTGTGGTAATAGGCAAAAAAGTTTGACAGCCCATTTGCCTATACAACATTAGGCAAGTTGCTTGACTTCCTTGCACTTTGTGTAAATTCTAGACAATTTAAAGGTCTCTCCCACCTTTGAACTTCTGGTGATTCTCTTATTAAAAGACATGCCAAACTGATTTCCTCCTTCCTTCCCTCCTTCTGTTCTCCTCCTCCTCCTCTTCGTTTTCTTTCTTCTGGGGGCTGGGATAGTCAAGGTGTCAAAGTATATATCTTAACTTCATGAAAATATTTAGCAAAATTTCCCAGAATGTCTCATAGACAAATAAGATGGTAGTTATGATGGGTGGATTTAGCACCTAACTGAACAAATATGCTCAGAGTATGAATGTAATGGGTGTGCGGTAACCCTGGAGAATGGGCCGGAGTGGAACGTTACAGGGGCTGTTGTGCCCTTGGAGCTGACCTTGTTAACATTTTTTATCCAGGTTGTAGGTAAGAAAGATATGAAAGAAATGCCTGTCAAATTTGGAGATAACCCAACGTTTAGGAGGCTTAATTCATACCATACATAAAGGAACCAGGCCTAGGTCTGAGCAGAATATCTGTTTATTAAGGTTATTGTTGTTTTAACAGTATTACCATAATTCAAATATTGTGCTCGTTTTATTTTTTCTCTTTCTTTAGTTGAGTCAAAATTTGGAGGCTGGTAGGGTCTCAAGTCAGTTGTTCTCTGACTTTGTTCCTATCAAGCAGTGCAAATCGATTAGGTCCGGCTGGTTTGGAGCAATACAAAATAAAGGAAGTGTCACCCCAAAAAGCCACGAGGTGGAATACTAAAATCCAGTTTAGCAGTTTCGGCTGATGAGCGTGAGGATAGACCTGGGAGGGGAGGGTGTCTCAGAAACACGTGGACGGCTTATTTGAAAAGGACCGACTGGACTCTTGATCACAGGCCGTGAGTTCAAGCCCTCTTTGGGCATAGAGTTTACTGAAAAAAAAAAAAAGAAGAGAACACATACAAACGAAAAGGGTGCTCGGCTCCCCCCCCCTTGTGACACCCTAGTCTGGGGGGAGGCCTCGAGCCTGCTTTTTTAAAACAAGCTCTCCAGCTGATTCTGAGAAGTAGTGTTGAGGAACTCACTTTGATTTGAGTTTTGGCAGAGTTGTTTAAATATGTTGTTTTGTCTCATAGTCCGTCTCCAATCTGTGTTTCTAAAAGCCCAGATAGACTTAATTATTTTGCGCTTACAACCCAAACAGTTAAATTATATCAGGTCCTTCATATCCTATTCCCTGTATTTCAATTAGAAAGCCATACGCTCTTACATTTCTGGTTTCCCTTTCATTTTTAATGCTTTATTTTATACAGACCTCGATCTGACCTCGACATGGGGAAAATATAATTTATGTGTAGCGCAAAAGCAACCTAGAATAGCTGCTCGGATGCTGTGGCTGTGTTTTGGAAAATGCACCCGGCTTAGATTATGCCTGATCATTTTCCGCATCACATGCTGAACAGCAGTTGCAAAGAAGCATACAATGAATGCTGCTGAGCAGCCCTCAGATACCTTGCTGTTAATGGGTGCTTTCCTTCCCCCCCCTCCCCCCCCCTCCCCCCCGCCCCCTGCCTCCCGTGTCTTCCTCAGCAGGATCTATGACTGAGGTGGATCTGCTAGGAGTGGCTCCTCGCTGCATAGAGGGAGGCACTTTTCACACTCTGTTTTGGAATGAGAAGTTAAATTCATGAGCACACATGATTTAGAAGACATGGGCTGTGGCACTTCGTCTTCAAGGAAAGACAGGAAATCTGAGAAAGGTGAGTGCCAGCGGGGGTGCCTGTCTTCCTGAATGAATGGGGAGCCTAGCGAGAGTGAGCCAGATTCACCCTCTCCCCTCTCCCCGGGCAGTCACTTGCTTCTCCAGCAGCCCCGCGCGCTTGGGCACAAGGCACCATCACTTGAGCTGAATACTGAAGGTTGAATATTGGCATAACACGGGGAACTACCTTTAGGAAGATGTAGCTTTGAATTTACGAGGTACCATAAAGTATTATCTAAGAGAGAGCTTATGTTTGATTTGATTTCAGCTGAAAACGTACCAATATAAAAAAATCTCCCTTTCAAACTCACTAGCAGGGAACAAGAAAGCCTCTGTAAATTTCTCTCTGTTTATTCAACATGCTTATAAATAGCTATACCCATACCTATGTGGCGTTTAGCTGCAGCATTGACTTTTTATTAGATTTTGTAACTCAGTGATTGGATTATTTTTTATAGCTATTCAACACAGAACTTCATGAGATTTGCCCCACGTTTTTAGACTATTCCGGGTAGAATTTGGGAAACGCAAGATCATCTGCGTCCCAAAAAGTGTGTTGTTTCTACATAGAGGACATGCCCCCCATGATCCCCATATAATTAGAGGCTTAACTATTGCCTTTGTTTATTTTGTACTGAAGTTCTTTCTCATACCTACTAAAATCTAGTTGCAACTCACTTGAGTGTTTAGGGGACATAGTCTCCACAAGCAAATAAAAATAAAAATAAACAAACTGGGATGATTATGTGAATAATTTGTTCTTAAACTCCATTCTTTTCGTGTCTAGGTTATAGATAATCTTCCCAGTTTCTTTTCCATGTCTTGTTTTTGGAAGTTTACTCAGGCTTAAGATGGACAGTTTAGGATGCAGAGTATTCTATACTAATTAGCATGTGATGTTTTTTCTTGGGAATCAAATGCTATTCTGCCTCCCAGCTGACTTGTCTTGGTCAGTTAGCAAAGCTGGCCTCCCACAGTAGGGACACGGGAGATGTACTAACTCTTTCAAATCTGTAAGTCTTTCAAAAGCTCCAACTGAGCTAATTCCATGGTAATAATTTATTATAAGAGAGCAAAGGGAGTAATATTCTTTTTACATCTAGGATTATCCAGAGTTCTTTAAATTTAGCCAAATTTCTCAGGTTACTTAAAAAAAAAAGGCCACGCCCAACTTGTAAAAGTAAATTCTCTCTTTTTGAAATACTTCTCAACTTCTAAAATGTTGCAGGTAAATGGAAATGTTGCCTTAGATTTTGGGATTGGTTTTTCTTTTAATTTACCAAGGTGAAATTCACATAACACAAAATTAATCATTTTAAGGGGACATTTCAGTGGCATTTGGTACCTTCACAAGGTTGTGTAACCACCCCTTCTAGTCTAGTTCCAAACATTTTCATCACTCCAAAGCAAACGCCCTTATCTATTGGGCAGTTTCGCCCTATTTCCCTCTCCTTCTAGCCCCTGGCAACCACTACTGTTGTATTCTGTCTCTGTGAATTTACTGATTCTGGATATGTCGGGTAAATGGAATCATACACAATGCAACCTCTGCCTCCTTTCACTTAGCATGTTTTTGGGGTTCATTCATGTTGTAGCATCTATCATACTTCATTCCTTTTCAAGGCTGAATAGTATTCCATTGTATGTATAGACCACATTTTGTTTATCCATTCATCTATTGACATTTGGGTTGTTTCCACCTGTTTGGCTACTGGGAACAGTGCTGCTATGAACATGAGCGTATATGTACTTGCTTGAGTTCCTGTTTTCAGTTCTTTGGGGGTATATACCCAGGAATGAAATTGCCAGGTCATATGGTAATTCTATGTTTAACTATTTGAGGAAGTGCCAAAGTCTTTTCCTGGATCACTCTCTTAAAAGAGCAGTTTTTTTGAGCTATAATTCACAGACCACACAATTCACCAGTTTAAAGGATATAATTCATTGGTTTTCAGTATATTCACAGAGCTGTACAACCATCACCACTATCAATTTTAGAACATTTTTCATATCCCTCCTCCAAACCATTAGCTGTGACTCCCCTACCCACTACCTCCCAAGCCCTAGGCAATCACTAATCTACTTTCTGTCTCTATAGATTTGGGCTCTTTTGGACATTTCCTATCAATGTAATCAGACCACATGGAGTCTTCTCTGTCTGAATTCTTTCATTCAGCATAGTGTTTTCAAAGTTCATGTCATAGCAAGAATCAGAATTTCATTCCTTTTCATCGCTGAATAATACTCCATTGTCAGAATGTGCCACATCATATTCATCCATTCATTAATTGATAGACATTTGGGTTGTTTCTACCTTTTTACTACTGTGAACAATGCTACTATGAACATTCGTGTACAAGTTATAGTGTAAACACATGGTTTTGGGGCGCCTGGGTGGCTCAGTCATTAAGCTTCTGCCTTCAGCGCAGGTCATGATCCCAGGGTCCTGGGATCGAGCCCCGCATTGGACTCCCTGCTCCGCGGGAAACCTACTTCTCCCTCTCCCACTCCCCCTGCTTGTGTTCCTGCTCTCGATATATCTCTCTCTGTCAAATAAATAAATAAAATCCTTAAAACAAGCAAACAAACAAACAAACACGTGTTTTTGGTGCTCTTGGGTATATACCTAGGAGTAGAATTGCTGGGTCATATGGTAGCTCAATGTTTAACATTTTGAGAAACTCCCAAACTGTTTTCCCAAGTGCCTGCACCATTCTTCATTTCCACCCGCAGCGTATAATGGTTTTAATTTTTCCACATCCTTTGCAATACTTGTTATTGTCTGTCCTGATTATACCCATCCTAGCAGGTATGAAATGGTAGTTCATTAGGGTTTTCATTTGCATTTCCCTAATGTCTAATGATATTTAGCATCTTGTCATGTGTATATTAGCCATTTGCAGATCTTTGGAAGAATGTCTAGTCAGATCATCTGTCCATTTTTAGTTATTTGTTTTTATATTATTTTGTTGTAAGAATTTTCTTTATATATTCCAGTTATAAGTTCTTTATCAAATATATGATTTGCAAATGTTTTCTTCCTTTCCGTGGGCTGTCTTCTCACTTTCTTGTCCTTTGAAGCAGAAAGGTTTTTAATTTTGATGAAATCCAATTTATTTTTTCTTTGGTTGCTTATGCATCATGCCAAAGAATCCATTGCCAAAGCCAAGATTGTTTATGGCTGTGTTTTCTTCTAAAAGTTTTATATTTTTAGCTCTTACATTTAGGTTTTTGATACATTTTGAGTTAGTTTTCATATACGGTATGAGGTAGAGGAACAGATTTATTCTTTGCATGTGGATATCCAGTCATTCCAGTACCATTTGTTGAAAAGACTATTCTTTCTCCATTGAATGGTCTTGGCACTCTTGTCAAAAATCAATTGACTGTAGATATGAGGGTTTATTTCTGGACTCTGAATTTTATTCCATTGATCTATATGTCTATCCTTATGCCAGTACCACACTGTCTTGATTACTGTATTTTATAGAAAGTTGAAATTGGGAGTTTGAGTCCTTCAACTTTCTCTTTTTCAAGATTGTTTTGGCTTTCTGGGTCCCTTGTATTTCCTTATGAATTTTAGGATCAATTTGTCAGTTTCTCAAAAGAAGCCATCTGGAATGTTGATGGGGATTGCACTGAATCTGTATACCGACTGGGGGAGTATTGCCAGCTTAGCGGTTAAATCATCTGATCCATGAACATGGAATGTCTTCCCATTTGTTTAGGTCTTTAATTTCTTTCAGCAATGTTTTGTAGCATTCAAAGCTTAAGTTTTACACTTCTTTTGTTAAATTTACTCCAAGTATTTTCATTCTTTTTAATGCTGTTATAAAATGGGACTATTTTCTTACTTTCATTTTTGGATTGCTCATTGCAAGTGTATAGAAAACAATTGATTTCTGTATATTGATCTTGTATCCCAAGACTTTGGTTGATTCTTTAGGATTTTCTATTTATAAACTATGTCATCTGCATATAGTTTAACTTCTTCCTTTCTATTCTATGCCTTTTTTTTTTTTTCATTTTCTTGCATAATAATCCTGGCTAGAACCTCTCTTAGTGTTGAATAGAAATTCACGAATACACATCCTTGTCTTGTTCCTGATCATAGGTGGAAAACATTCAATCTTTCGTCTTTAAGTATGATAGTAACTGTGGCTTTTTCTAAGATACTCTTTGTCAGGTTGAGGAAGTTCATTCCTATTCCTAGTTTATTGGTTGTTTTTTATTAAGAAATGGTGTTTAGGGGTGCCTGGGTGGCTCAGTCAGTTGGGCATCTGCCTTTAGCTCAGGTCATGATCCCAGGGTCCTGGGATTTAACCCTGAGTCAGGCTCCTCACTCATCAGGGAGTCTGTTTCTCTCGCTCCCTCTGCCCCTCCCCCCCACTCATGTGTGTGCTCTCTCTCTCAAATAAAACCTAAAAAAAAAAAAAAGAAGTGGTGTTTAATTTTGTCAAATGCTTTATCTGCATGTTGAAATGATCATGTAGTTTTGCCCTTTATTCTATGATGAGTTAATTGAATTTCAGATGTTGAACCAACTTGGCATTCCTGGGAAGAATTGGTATTCTTTAAATGTTTGGTAGAATTCATCAGTGAAACTGAGTATGGGCCTTTGTGGGTAGTTTTTTGATTATGTATTCTACTTTTGTTATAGGTCTATTCAGATTTTCTATTTCTTCTTGATTCATTTTTAGTAGTTTGTGTCCTTCTAGGAATTTGCCCATTTCATCTAAGCTATTTAATATATTAGCATATACTGTCAGAATATTCCCTTATAGTTCTTTTTATTCTTCCATTATCTCTTGTTGAATATGTCAATGTTTATTATGATTTCATAATAATAAACCTGCTGAAAACTGAAGCAATGTTATTTACTTACATTTAGCCATAAAAAGTTTTTCTTATTTAGAAATATTGTAAAATATAGAAAAGCCGGTGGAAATAATATTCATCATTCTACTACCCAGTGACAACAACTGTTAACATTTTGGT